GTATGACTCAACTGTAAATAGTGTAAATGAGAAGAATATCTCATCTCAGAAATATAGTTTGCTGATGTATTTTGAAAATTAATGGCAGGAATGATTTTGGCAAATGATACAACTCGGTAATATTGTCATAGAGGCCAAGTGGATAAATTTAGTTTTCTGTTTACTTCTCAGTTTCAGTAAGAATTGGGGAGCTTCAGTCCAACTCCACAGCCGTCCCTTATAGCGCCATGGATGCTTACGAGAACAAGAGATGAAAATGATAAGAGCTTACCACGCCGATGAAATAATTGCGTATCCTCACATGATGACCAAAAGTCAGTCATTGTTCGAATCCTGTTGAAAAGTCAAAATTTCAATAATTGATTTCTTTGCTTGGAAGATAAGCACAACACAGACGTCGCCCCAAGCACTTTCACCAATAGGGCAGTATGCTGTATGTTGCTACGCCTCTTAAATATCAACAAGTCCAAAGAGTAGGGGGCTACTATTACATAACTACCCGCAAAAAGTTAAAAACCAAAGTGGGAGGGTCGATGAAATATTGACGCCAGCGCGACGTTAGTTTGCTCGGACTGACAAATGTCTGGTCTTGGCCCATGTGCACCTGCTTGGACTCGTCATTTTAAACCTGTCCTTGTGACATATCCCATCACCGTGTGTAGTATATGTTCACCTTTCTCGAACCGTCCACAGAAAAAGCTTTGAGGGATTTCTGGTCTCTGGGGTTCCAAACCCTGCAGTAATGTCTACCACATTGCACTGAAGAGCGACAGGTGGTGAAATACCGGTACCATCGTGAGGCAGCTTAGAAAAAAAAAGAAAAGCGATATGCTGGTTACTCAACTCTCCAATGCCCACATTAGACATTAGTATATCTGACTTTAATACGACAGAAAGAAGGAAAAGACTAAGTCAAAGAAATCCATTCCAAAAATGAATTGTGCTACAAAACATTTACCATAAAAATGTTTTGCATAAACATACATATATTGTCCCAATCCAGGGAAATTGAAAACTCTTATGAAAAAAAAAACAAATAGTATTTGGACGAATAAACATAAAGAAGGTCTTAGTTGTAACATTTCTATGAAAGTCGGCCTGTTTGACGTCGTTTATGTTCCTTATTTAGAACGTACAGCTTTCGCGAGCCGCCACATCTGTCTTCCACGCAGTCTACACAACTGACCTATCTTCAACCATGGGCTGTTGTCTAAAGACCATCAAGATTTTTGAGGATATTAGAAAATTCGTCTTGTAAAAAGGGAGATAATTGACTTTTGCATTTTTATAACCGATCTTCTTCTATACGCTGTTTCCTTTCAGGACGTTGGTGATCATGGCTCTCCACAATTTCTCATCGTTTAAAGCTCTTAATAGATTTAATCTTTTTGCTATCTCTCCTAAACCATCTTCTGCCACAAGCTAACTAGGTAGGCCATGCGTTGTTTTCCTCTATCACTCTTGACTTCAATCTACCCTGTGAGTATCAACCTTTCCAAGGCCTTTTTTTTAGTATGTACCCCAGAAAATTCGACTGTCTCTTCCTGATAATTAATATGAGTGTCGATTTTGTTTCCCTTTTCTTTCAAATTTCGTCGTTGCTCATGTTTGGTCTATGGTATTCTCAGCATCCTTCTGTAGAACCATATTTCTGTTGCTTCAAGTCTCTTCATCTGCGAGGAGATCGTTCAGCATTCACTGCCATATAGGATTATTACATAACAGCTCAGTACACTTTTCAGAAGAGTAAGTATTTAGTAAGTAGAGATAAGTAAATATAAACGGAAATATTTTAAAATTAAGTCAAAGTTCATGATTTCCAAAGTTTCTTTATTTTTCTTAGTCGTTGATTTAAGCGTTTCAATGTCACGTCGTTTTATGCACATTTCACTTTTCTTGTTTTTCGCAAAACTTGAACGTGTTACGAAAGACAAAAAAAAAAGCATTTCCACATCTGCGATTGAAATATAAACAAATAAACTATCAGTTTGAGGTCCAAGGAAAACAAGCACCAAGGAAGAAACAAAAAATAAATCCACACATAAGCGATCTTCACTCCGGATAATAAAACAAAGAGACAGTTTTGTTAATGCGTTTCAGTTATATACCGTTTCAGTAAAGTCTAAATTGGTCCAGTTACATGAAAACCAAAACCAGCGAAATGCTGAATCATAGAAAAAAAAACACACCGCACCTGAATAGAGGAAAGTCGGGTTGAAGAATTGGAGAGCCGAGTTTGAATTCCAGCCTGTTTACGACAAAAATGCTTAAATCCACTTAAAATGCTTGATTATGAAACAAAAAAAGACTTGTTGCTTTTGAAATTAGCTAGATCATCAGATGACAACCAAGATGCACAAGAGTATTGATCTTTACTGCTAACGGAATTCATTCCAATTCTTATATTGTATGAGAGGACAAATGTTTTATTTCTTTTTCACTCAAATAAATAAAATTTCTTTGTATTTATGATTTAAAAACATAAATTCAGGTGTCAGCGGTTCTATTCCTTTACTTTTTTTTAGTAAATCACTCAAGACAAGACCGAAGAGTCACTCAAGGAAGAAGGCTACTAAATGAGGAGGGAGTAAGATCAGATTATGAGAATAAGTAGAATAGATAACTGTTGAATCTAGATTTAAAAAGGCTACGATTGTATTAATCGTGGAAGCATCCTCTCGAGTATCTGTTCCACTAAGTAGCAGTTCTCAGGAAGAACTTCCTCTTTACCAATGGAATATGAAGCGAATGAGAAAGAGTCGACCCTGTGTACATGGCAAGGTGGATCTTAGGTATAATAATGCCATTTCTCACACATCTTTACAAGATAAACAGGTAATTTCTTTTCTTTTTAAGTCCACTTAGTTGTCTGATTTTCATAGGAATTTTGTCTCCAGTCCATCTTTAATTGAACTTAAGTGTTAGTGTTTCAGGACGCATGTCTCCCGTTCACCTTTAAACTAGGAAACATAAAAATTTTATAAATGATTTTAGATAGTCATAAAAGTAGTCCTTTTAAAATTTGACCACCCCTGTAGCTTTGGGGTGGTCCCAAATCTTCCGGAAGATAAGTGGTTGTTGGGGGTGGGACCCCAGGGTTACCCATATAAGCAGAGAGAGGCAGGAAGTCGAGAGGAAAGTGAGTCCAGCTGTCAGAGAAGTAGGTGACCAAAACAGTTGGAGTTGCCCAGTGACCGAAGAATTGGTAATGAGTCGCCGAGACCAGAGGCAAGTGAAGTTAGGGCGATAGCAGTTCAACCGAAGGGAAAGATAGCCGGCTAAGTGAGAAAGTGATCACAGACAAGGAGACGAACCTGTACACATAGAGAGTTGGGTGTATATGCAAATAAACTCAAACTTGGATGTCATCACAGGTGCAGTGAACGAAGGACTATTGGAGAACGTTGTCACAATTTACGCCACGAATGGCGTCACAATCTATAAAGGTCTGAACTGGTGGAACTAAGCAATATGGCACGTCCGAACATCGCGACATTGTAACGATAGGCTTGCGACATTCACGAGGAGGGAGTTGTAGGTTTGAAAATAATCACCCACAAGGCCGCGTAAGCTAGAAAGATTGGACAGCTCCAAATCAGGTATGGCAGCAATATCCCATTTTCAGCTTAATCTGACTCTTGTAAAGATAAAGCAGACCAAGAGAAGTCCGATATTTTAATCAATTTTCGCATTTAACATGATAATTATCATGAGGTGTTTAACAAAAGCAGAAAATGGTATCAGCGATGCGAATTCAAATTTCAACTAAAGTGTTCTCAGGAAGAACTTCTTCCTTACCAATGGAATACGAAGGGAATGAGAATAATTCGACCCTGTGTACGTGGTAAGGTGGATCTTAGCTGTAAAGGTCTGAACTGGTGGGAAAAAGCAATATGGCTCGTCAGAAAATAGCGATATAGTAATGATAGGCTTGCAAGGCGAGGGGTTGCAGGTTCAAAAATAATTAATCACCCACAAGGACGAGTAAACGCTTTTTAAGGCTGGAAATTGAGGCATGGCGCGTCTTAGCTGTGAAAACCTGATGTCGTGAAACGAATGAATTTACTTCGTCATATGTCATGAAAATAGCGATAGAAAAGCTGTGGGAAAGAGGTTGTAGGCTGGAAAATAATTCATCACCCACAAGGCCGCATAGATGATTTTAAATTCTGTCAAGATTAGAAAGTAAGGACTGGGCAGCTCAAGAGAAGTTATGGCAACAATACACCATTTCCAGCTTGATCTGTCTCTTGTAAAGATAGAGCATAACAGGAAGAGTCAGATATTTTCTGGAGCGAGCAAGGAATCGAGCATTTTTTTCCAGAATCTTTGGTGGTGGATCGTATATATGAGTTCCACTTGAGGTCTTCGCTGCTAAAATGCTGGACACATTGGCAGATTAGAAACAACAAAGAGAAACAAACAAAAACACACACACCCACAAAAATAATATTCGGCGATATTCGATCAGAAAACGACCATTTTTGTTTTAATCAGTTTTCGCATTTAACATGATAATTATCTTGCGGGGTTTAACAAAAGCAGAAAATGGTATCGGCGATTCGAATTTAAATTTCGACAAAAGTGTTCACTTCGCCTTGATGGCCTTAAGAAAGACATGAATTTACCTTTTCTCCCATCAGCTATGGGTTAAATAGTGATGCAAACAAAGCTCTCGGTTATTCATTTGCAATCAGTCTAAGTTTACAGATGTAAAATAAAAAATGGAGGGTCATGGTACTTAATTTGATTGATTAATTCGTTTTCTCTGGCTTATAAACCCTTTACAGGTTATTTGAAATCAGAAAATATTTATAGATTGTAAGACATTTTTATAGATAATATTGGCTTAGTGAAATAAGTCTTACTAATTAACCCACAGCTGGGGGGAGAAAGAGTGGATTCATTCCTTTCACAAGGGGATTTACACGTAAAGGAATATAACGAACGCAACCGGAATTGGAACTCTGCTCTGTGATTAACAATGCATATTCAAATTCACAGCACTTGGTATTCTCAAGCGTTACCCATCTAGTTACTAACCAGGCTCGACATTGCTTAACTTCGGTAATCATACGGAAACTAGTGTTTCAACGTGATATAGCCGTAAGCCAGCAGTTAAAGAGAGGTGAACATAATTATCTTAATTTATGTAAAACACAAATTAACTTTATATATGTTATCGGTCATGCAATCTGGACTGGCTATTTAGTAATGAGATATTCCGTTGTTAAAGTACTTAGTACTAATTAATAAGAATAGCTTTCTCTTATTTCGTATTAGTTATTCCTGTGTTCATTTGTTTTTATTTTTTGCTTTGAATAATTTGAAAAGCAGATTTTTTTTTCCTTATGACTTGCATGCTCGACAGAAAGTTATGGTCAAGGGAAGAAAGTTTGAATTGTTTATTAAATTTCTTGAATTCAATAAAATTTATGATGTAATATAATATTTTGTTGTTATTAGTCCCTCGAAGTACTTTCGACGTAATTAATTTTTCATTTTTGATGGGGTTTATTTGTAAAATGAAAGTTATGGCGAGTTTTGTTCTGATGTATTACTAACGAGTTTGAATTGTTATCTAAACGTAAATCTCTCTTATGTTCATAGATACGTGCTTTTAAATTTTGTGATATCTCCCCAATATAAATGCTTTTACATTGTAAGTAATATTTATTTGATAAGTACCGGCATCTGAATAGTTGTAGTATTTATGTTTCTTCCTAATTTGATCTCTGATTATCTTGGAAGCGGTGGTGAAGATCGTAGTATTAGTGATAACTAAATTATTGACAGGTTTTGTAGAAAGCATGTTAGACGGTATGATAAGGAATTTTGTGTTGTTGCTATAAGTGCTATCGGTGTTGGGGGATTTGTGGATTTTGTAAGCTCGTTTGCTAGCTTTGAGGATGAAAGTGTAGAAGTCTAATTATGACTATCTAATCCTCATGACTTGAGAACATTTAGGGTCTGATCGTTAATGATGAAGTGATATTGGCTTGGTTTTCGATGTATTAAAAGTCACGAGACCGCTTTTCTCCTTTGATCTGTAAGAGCTCGATCAGAGAAGAGATCAGCTATAAGGCTCCGGCCATCATGGTTTTTGGAAATACCACCATGAGCACTGCTAGAATTTCTATAGCTGATTGAAGCCCTTCCAAATATCAAGGTACACATGATCTCTGACCTCGCTCTAACTGATCAATACGGAAAAATAACTTATAACCTTCAATAACTCAAAAACCAATCTAGTTTTGTTTATTCATCATCATTATCGATCAGACACTGAAACATTAAAATTTAAAAGGAATGATAAACTCCAAATAGATTTTGGAATTGTGACTGGTTTTGCAAATAGTAATTAGTGAGTCAATACATTCAAAGTAGCCAATTTGAAATATGTTCATTATAACGTTTCAAAAATAAAAGAATCATGCGAACGAGATTAGATATTCTCTAAGAGACTGGTTTCTAATTTGTTTTTGCATCAAGAATTGTTTCCTTTCTTTTTACCAAACGTCTACTCTATTTACCTTTCCTTTAATAAACTGCAGTTTCACAGAAATTGTTTTAAACACAAGCTATGAAATTTATCAATTCTATCGAATGTTTTTTAGGCCACTGCTTTATTTACTGAGATATTTTTCTATATTTTAGATTAACGTTTCAAATTTGCACAAAAGAAATATTAAATATCCAATTAAAGTTAATCTCAAACTCCAATTTTTTTTCAATGTCACAGCATAAAACGACAACTTCAATGTTTTGCATGCAATTTAAGATGTTTTAATTTTATTAGAATTATTAAACATTATTTTAATGCCATATCACTTTCGGAAGTAGGCGATCATGGCCTTCCGTAGATTCCTTTTTGTATTATCTGCGAATTTTCATAGCTTATTAAAAAAAAGATAGTGGAGTGGTTTCCCGTTGTCTTCTACACGCTTTTGAATTCAGTCCTTCTCCTAGACTAACCAGCCACCCATGGTTAAACAACGCAGTTTATCTGCTATTTAATCCATAGATGGGTTAAGAAGAAATGGATTCATACATTTCCGAAGTCCATTAATGCAAATATAAACGCAACAGACTTAGGGCCAGAATATGAATTCGTCATTTCGATTTCACTTTTTATACTGACCGATTAATAAAAGGAAAAAAATAGACATTTGGAAAGAAATAAAAACAGAAAATCTGTGTTCAGCTAATCTTGAGAAGGAAAAGTGTAACCGTATAAAGATAATAGACGCTGACCTTTTTCCTGGGTCTGGTGTCACCATTTTTTTTTTAATCCCATTTTATTTCCAAGGCTCCATACGTGCCCAAACAATCAGCATTTGTGATAACAGCATTTTTTTTTCTAGACACAATACCTGCCTAGACAATCAGCATTTGTGATCTCCACTTGACTGTATATCTTTTTGACACTCAACATTTGTGATTTTGGCATTTTGCTCTGAGATCCGACACCATCTATTTTTGACGTGCCAAACAAAGCCGTTTTTAGCAGATATCTTTATGGAACCTAAACGTTTTATGGTAATGTTTAACAAGCTAGTTTTGCAAATTATTTCCACTAGGAAGTTATTCCGCTGTTTTGTCATATTATCCCAGGCTTGTGACTTGGCTCCAAATTAAGCTAATATTAAGAAATAACTTTGCCACACAGGGTGTGACCTACATAAATTCTATTGAGAAAGGTCAGTCACTGCAAGTTAATGGTTAGCCATTTGGTCTAGCATACTAACATTACCATGTAGTAAATACGCGGTTTACTATAATATTATACCAGACTCATGGAGCATGGCATTTTTCTCTGATTTTTCGATGTTCCTCCTAAGAGAGGGTTGGTCACATGGACTTTTTTCTAAATCTTCAAACTGATTTGAAAGCAAGAATTATCGTCCGTTATGCACTTTGGGTAGATCAATGCTTTCCTTGTAAGTATTAGTGCCATATAACGATTTTAGAAACACCACTCGCAGAGATAGATAGATAGATAGATAGATAGATAGATAGATAGATAGATAGATAGATAGATAGATATATTGAAACAGCCTGCGATAGATAGAGAGATATGAGCCGACTGCGATATATATATATAGAGATATGAGCAGACTGCGATAGATAGATAGATAGATAGATAGATAGATAGATAGATAGATAGATAGATAGATAGATATGAACAGGTTGAGATAGATAGTGATAGGAACATAGATAGATAGATCCAAAGAGACGCGAATTTAGTGATAGCATCATAAAAACATACACCACTCGATCGTTAGATAGATAGATAGATAGATAAGAAGGAATATTTTAACAAGTGTCGTCTACGCGGACGTATTACAGATTTTATTGGCGTTTTGTCAATTTCTGAATTGTCATGTCAGGTCATGTATTAGGCAGAATTATATTTTTCCTACACCATCAGCCATTGTAACAAACGTTACCAGTTGCTGAAGATACGCAAGAATGGATATCAGGAATGTGTCTTGTGCGATATTAAATTTTTATCGTCCTATCTGTAGATTGAATGTGAAGATAAGGTGGCACGAGTGCGACATCATCAGCTTTTTTAAAAAAATGCCTTCATATTCTCTAATCTTCATTTTCTTTTTCTTTGATTTCTGGTGTGTAACCATTTCTTTCCGGATCCCGACCTGGGACATAAGGTCAGAAATGGCATCATGACATTTTCCACTGAGCACTTTTAAAAAAATCACACATATTTTACATAAAGTCCTTCATAAGGTGTCGGCTGTACTTGTAAAAACAATCTTTTGTATTTCTTTAAGGCATGACCTATCAGGAATCCCTTCAATGAGTCTATTGGAATATTTTCCAATCAATCCGAGGACTGCATCTACAAGTGGAATTGTTAATGTCCTCATGCGTCACATTTTTGAGATTTCGATTCCAAGGTTCTTGTATTTTGATAGTTTTTTTTTTGGTTTTTTTTTGGCGATCTTCAAAGATACATTGCAGTCTGCAGGGACTCCCATGTCACTAAGAAGGTACATTTTGTCTTTGCGGTCTCTACTCACGATATCTGTGCGATTATCTTTGATAGTTCTGTCTGTGTGTATCGTGTAGTCCCATAAAATCCTTACAGGTCCTATGTCTGTAATCGGGTTTGGTTGAAGATCATACCCATTACTTGCAGATTCCTTTCCATAAAAGTTTCATAATTTCCAATGCAGATATTGTCCAACTCTGTCATGCCAAGTTTTATATTGAGTGGGTGCCAATATCGTGCAGCCTAATACAAGCTGATCATTTGTTTCTGGATATTTATCACAGAATCTTCATTTTGGGCTAACTCAATATTTTTTACTATAAGTGCTTATTAATTTCTAGTTTGCAAGCCTTGGTCCTGTGCAGCAAGAATAAAACCTTCGGATTCAGCCTTTAACCCTGCACTACGTAACCACTGATGGGTACGGTGTTTGTCTACATCAGCTTGTTTGGAACGGGGAGAGTATTTGACCGTGAAGCGGTTTATCTTGCCATCGCTTCTGTATCTGGTCGGTTGCATTTGCCTTTGCTTTTTTTTAAGTATTTTTCCAGCTTCAGTCGGTGTATTGTTCTTTACTATTTTTTCACCCATTTGAAAGTTCTTTTTGAAACTTGTTCGCTTCCTTTATTACTGAATAAAGTCACTTATTACCTTCATGTTTTTTGACACATCATCATCCAGTCTTCTGTAGTTTCCAGGTATCTTTGAAGGTCAATTGTTGTAGTTTTGTAAGACAGTTCTAGTTGAACTAATCCTCTGCCTCCTTCGGATCTGTACATATTCAAACGATCAACATCAGCATTTGGGATGATGCATGCGGTGGCAGGTGAGAAACTTTAACTTAATGTCAGCTATGGTCCAGTTAAGCATCTTGAAACTGTATTGCATCACAGGGACATCCAAGGTGCTTATGGCTGATATTCTGTTTTTTGAATTCAGTTCGATATTCAATACCAGACGCCCACGCCTGTAATATTCAGTTCTTACCTTCTCCTTCATTTGGGTATGCTGTATTTATTATTATTATTATTATTATTATTATTATTATTGTTGTTGTTGTTGTTGTTGTTGTTAATTTCCTTGCATTTCTGTTG